GAAAAGCTTAATGGTTTCAACAATGAAAACCAAGACCAATACATAGCAAGCAAAATAGCATAAATATCCAAAATGAGAAATATAAACTTACTCCCACTGACCTTGAGATACATACAACAATTAATAGTGCTTTCATTAAAATTAAAATTAAAATTATTAATTTTATACGATGAATTCTTCAGTTTACAAAGCATGTGTTTCTTTCAATAAAAGAAAAGTCCTCAGGTTCATTCATGCAGACTTCTCTATTAAACACTCATCTAATCTTTTATTTTTCACATCCATACAATGTAACTCTAATTCATAATGAGTTACAAATACCACTATATGATTCCAAGTGAGTCATTCTTAGAAACAAGTGAGAATGTCACTTTATAACATATACCGTCGTTCTTAGTAAAATCGTTGGCCAATAGTGTGTCTTCATATCCATCTATATTGCCATTGGAGTTGTATGTAGTCATGAAGACACTCTTACACATAACTCGTACTTTGCAGGCAAATCGATGAAATCACAAACTTCATCTGGCAAATTAATTTCAACTCATCATTCATGGCATAAATCTATTTAGTAGAATCAATATATGTTTAACGACATGTGAAAATAAAATCAAAATCTTTCGTAACACTCACAGTCAGATTCTTGTAGATATACCAAATAATCACTTAAAGTAGCAGATACCAACATGCTTAATGTCTTGATATCATCTTAATGCTATTCTTTGTGGGTCTCTACTACACTTTCACCGGTGAAGTAGTCATAATGGAGTGATTAGTTATTTATTAATTTGTTATTCATTGTTGTTAAAACTGTTCACAACTGTAGGAATAACAATTTCATTATGAAGTATGCATGCAAAAATTTGCACACTAACTTTTAATAAAACCAATTTTCTTGGTTATCCACTCCCACTAATTTCACCATTTAAAATGAAACTGACGTTACTTATTTCAATAATCTCATATCCTGGTTAGGATAATAAAATCTATACCATTTGTCCTTTTCTAAGTAACCAATAAGGTTATCAGAAAACATTCTGAAGGTCCAATCCCTTCTCATGTGAACATTACATTCTTACTCCCACTAAGCAACCCAAAACATAATGGTGCCTTAAACTGAATTTCCTTACTTTTCGCAATTCAAATAATTTCTTATTTGAAACTGCCTTAATAGGAACCCAATTAGCATAATAGTTGTAGTAAGAACATGTATCCATAATGGTATACGTAACGATAAATTACTTCACATACCCTTAACCAAAGGACAGAGCATTACAAGGTGAACACATGTTTTATAAATAATTTCAATTAGCTAAAAATTTCTTATGGCATCTTTCTTGGTGTATTCAAATTGTTTTCCTTAATACAATCCACTTACACACCAATAAGAGATCAATAAAATATAGGTTCATAAGAACCTCATTCCTTACTGTTCCCTTAGTTCTTTCTCCGAACACATTACCAGTCATTTGTGCCATAAGAACATTAAATTTCAATTTGTCAAATAGCAGTCACTTCTAAATCAATCATGCAAAGTATCAAAAACATTTAAGGAAAAATGTCATCATACTTTAATTTCGTGAATCATTAATAGAATACCACAATTAACAAAATAGGCATTCTTTAAGAGACTGAAACAGTCATCACCAAACTTTAAAGGATAAAACATTATTGCCAAATTCCAAACAAAATTCCAACTAGATTTGAAACAGTAAGAACATAATACAGTTTCAATAAATCTAAATCATGGCCATTAAATTGAATATATAATTCTAAATTTTAGCACATAATTTAATCCATCAAGCATCATACGAAAATTCATCTAAAAATTGATTCGAAACACATAAAAGCGGAAGACTTACCTTTCTTTTCGAATCATATTCTGTAAATGCTTCACCTTCTACATAGGTGAATTTCATTTTCCTTCTTCTTCATCCAAAGGACTTCATTTTGCCGCTAAATTAGTTTGCTCAATAATGCACTCATTCATGCTTCGCATACCATCAAATTTCATGATGGTAAGGTCAGCCAATATTGTCCATGTAATGGACTTGTTAGCAATTCTCAAGAATTCTTTAGCAATATTCACATTAATGGAGCATAGCCTTAATTTATATGACATTGCAACATAATTTGTAATATGCTCAGAATACTAATACTTCGAGTGACAAACACGTACAAACATATATAAGACTTATATAGTCTGACCATCAATAGACGTATCATCATAACTCTCTTTTGGGATAAATTATGACAGTACCAATAATTAACAATCATGATGCATCTATTTTACATTATTGGTAAATGTATATTCCCAGTTAGAAAAGCTTTGATATCTTTGGATATCCAAAACAAATCTAAATAAGACATATACAAGTTACCTCATTTATATCACCAATCATATGAATAGTGGATCCACCTTTGGGTGATCCGTATATCTTATGAATGATGAAAATCAATATACTCATGACGTTCGAACCTTGAAAACATTATAAGGTTCAACCTCATTTATATGCATCCTTAAATCACAAGTAATTGATTAATTATCATTTAATTTGATATTCAAGGAACATTCTAGCTTGGCCACTTTGGTGACTAACAAACCATTCATAATATGAATGTCAAATTAAATTAACAACTGTATTAGTTAATCAACATAAGATTAACTAATACACTTTAATGATTAATTGATCATTAGATTAATTAATTTGATATTCAAGGAACGTTCTAGCTTGGCCACTTTGGTGACTAAGAAACTATTCATAATATGAATGTCAAATTAAATTAACAGTTAATCGATTACATAAGTTTAATTGATACACTTCAATGGTTAATCAATCATTAGATTAACCGATAAATATATGACCTCTTTAATACAGTAGTGGGCAATAGAACTTTAGATTGTCTCCCCTCATAAGACAAAATACAGTGACAATAGAATACAATATGTTCATATACATATATATATATTATAATAACTTTAATTCATTGTACATGTCTACACCAAGATCATACCATGAGTTCATAAGTGATCATACATTTAATAATACATCAATTCATTAGGATTTCCACATAATAATATAAATTGACAGTAAAACTGGTATTATTTCTTCCTGTCAGCATCATAATTAACGAAATCATAATTTGCCAATTGACAGATTCGTTCTTCAATTTGAAAAAATAAATCATATAGCCAAGTAAATGCATAGCCATTAGCACTCCAATTCATAATAGCAAATGTATTTTGCAAACTCGAAATTCTCCTCCCTATGTAATAGACAATAATCTATGTCTCGTTCATATGCATACGATTATATGGAAATCAAGAGGGAAAAAAAAAATATCCTCTGCATTGTTCTGTATGTGTACTTTAATATAAAAATAAAACAATTTCTATTTTCACTCATTATACACATCCAAATTAATTCATACCTTTTTGTATGAATTCGTTAATGAAAACACAATAAAAGAATTTCGACATAGCCATATATGCAGATCATAGAACCCTTAGGTGCAATTGTATTCA